CTCGTTGTTAATTTGACAAACTTTCTTTTTAATAAAAAACGTCATTAATTAAATGAGAGATCGATCTCTCAGAAATTAATTAATTGAATTTACCGAATCATTATTATTATTAATTGAATGAAAAAAGTCTGATCTTGTTCTAAAATGTAAACAAGTCCGAATTCAATTTTTTAATTATTAATGAATTTGATTATCAATAATAAAGTATTTAAAGGAAGCAGCTTATTCTCTTTCTCAAGTCTGTATACAAAAAAAAAAATAATAATGAAAAATAATTTTGTTGTCGTAATTTTACTCTTTCTTGCTATAACGGGTTTAGGATTTTCAGCGCCACAAAAAAAAGCGACAATATCTGATATCACTCCAGATGAAATCGCTAGGTTTGCTAAACTTGCTCAGGCTCAGGGCCTAGTAACTTTAATTGCAGATTTATCGACATCATGTCAATCAGCATTACTTAGTATTGTTTCCTCTCCAGAATTTCTACAATGCATTCCAATTACTCCATTGTTACCATTGTTGACATTTTTCACCGATCCTGGTGAAATTGCATCACTTATTTCCGATCCAAAGACTGGACTTCAAAAACTTCAACCTGCCTTGATAGAATTATCTAATGAATTCTGTGTAGCACCAAAATGTTCCGATAAAGGTGTTGCAGATGCTATTAAGACAATTCAAACTGGATGTAATCCAGATGATATGAAAAACCCACTACTGGAATTCATATTTCCTGCTGCCGTTTTCTATTATCCTGCGAGGGACACAATATGTTTTAAAGACGCTGTAAACCCAAGCCACTTTTGCTTATTTGATGATGACATCACCACTTCAATCAACTTACCTCAATCTCCGTTCAAACTTGGTGGCGGTGACTTTATTGATTCCATTGTAGTTGCTGATCCAACAGCCATCTGCACTACATGTAACAAGGCAATTTATAACACTATTGACAATTTTATCAATAGCAACGATTTGGCTAAAAAAATTCTTGCTGGGGATCAGGTTCTTTTGTACCAAGTTAGAGTTTTTTTTGCTATTAAATGTGGTATTGGATTTGAAGGTAAATATATCCACACCTTTATAAAAATATGTATATTGTATATAATAAATATCAATTAGCTTTCTAATTCTTTTATTTTTTATTTATTTTAGATGGTAAGGTACCTGATCCATCACAACCACCACCAAAAAGATAACGAATTTTATTTATTTATTAAACTTATTATAGATTAATTTCAATCATTTAATATAATTTTTATTTATTCATAATATAATTTAATTAACAAATTAATTTGATTCTGATTAAAGATCGTTATACATGTGTTGTACGTGAGAATAAAATTATGTAAATTCGCAATTCACATATGTGAAATTCAAATTTACATATGTGAAATTCAAATTAGTCAATGAACTAGAATTACCCCAAGACCAGAACGTTTACTAATCATTGACACATAAAAAACAATTATTTGTTTGAGCAAAGGAATAAGAACAGGTAACAAAATTTTAACCCATGCAATTGTTGATTAACCAATCAAAATCATGAATTTGATAACGTAAAAATTAATAAATGTTGGTTTGATTCATTTTGTCAACAATCACTTCACCAACAGTTGTTTCGTTAACAAATGGTTTGAATTTAAGAAAATGGAAGTAACCATGCGACAAACCTTTGAATAGTCTAACAAATTAAATTGTACTACTAGAAAATGTATTTAAAGGGTTGGTTTTCAACTTGGTTGAAGAATAACTCTCTTCCTAACTCTTCTCTTGACCATATCTCGAGATATAACCAAAATAACTTTAATATAACGAATGTCAACATTTAAGATATACGATCAAGACAAAACATGAACGATGTATGAAAAAAATCAAACAAATTTATTTAATAAAAACAAAACTACAACCCAAAAAAATTTTTTTTGCATGTCTTAATAAAATTTCCCATTGTTGCTGCTGATTCAATGTTACCCAGATCATCATCAACTGTATTTTCGATATTTTTGATAAACTCATTTTCGTTTAATCTTTTCGTTATACTTTCTTTAGTGCGTTGACGTTTTTTTTTTGATTTCGACTTCAATATAGTCCAAGATATCAAACGTTTAGATTGGCTCCTTTGTAGACAATGATTGCGATAACCATGTCCACATGTGAGTATATATACACTACAATTATTCAAATTAGTATAGTAGATGGTTTCCTTAAAGTTAAATGTCAAAAATGTGTCATTGATGATGTCATGATTAAATGATACCTGATGAAATGTTTTTGTCATAATTCACAAGATTAAAGTTTCGGATGCAAAGTGAGCATCAAAAAAAATCTTTTTTTAATTCATTTGTTAATATTACCCCAAGACCAGAACGTTTACTAATAATTGACACATAAAAAACAATTATTTGTTTGAGCAAAGGAATAAGAACAGGTATCAAAATTTTAAACCCATGCAATTGTTGATTGACCAATCAAAATCGTGAATTTGATAACGTAAAAATAAATAAATGTTGGTTTGATTCATTTTGTCAACAAAAATCACTTCACCAACAGTTGTTTCGTTAACAAATGGTTTGAATTTAAGAAAATGGAAGTAACCATGCGACAAACCTTTGAATAGTCTAACAAATTAAATTGTACTACTAGAAAATGTATTTAAAGGGTTGGTTTTCAACTTGGTTGAAGAATAACTCTCTTCCTAACTCTTCTCTTGACCATATCTCGAGATATAACCAAAATAACTTTAATATAACGAATGTCAACATTTAAGATATACGATCAAGACAAAACATGAACGATGTATGAAAAAAATCAAACAAATTTATTTAATAAAAACAAAACTACAACCCAAAAAAATTTTTTTTGCATGTCTTAATAAAATTTCCCATTGTTGCTGCTGATTCAATGTTACCCAGATCATCATCAACTGTATTTTCGATATTTTTGATAAACTCATTTTCGTTTAATCTTTTCGTTATACTTTCTTTAGTGCGTTGACGTTTTTTTTTTGATTTCGACTTCAATATAGTCCAAGATATCAAACGTTTAGATTGGCTCCTTTGTAGACAATGATTGCGATAACCATGTCCACATGTGAGTATATATACACTACAATTATTCAAATTAGTATAGTAGATGGTTTCCTAGAAGTAACAAAGCCTCTTGGAAGGTGACGATCGGTTATTTCGTAACATCATAACTTCATAACCTCTTCAGAAAATGTCATTGCCAACGGCTAGGATTCTTCAGACAATTGATGTGTATGTCGAGTTTGATTGCTTGGTGAACTACTAACTAATAGATAATATGAGAGGATATAATTAATTCATTGAAATATTATCATTAATGATTGACTACTTGCAGCAAAAAACCTACTTTAATTTTGACATCAAAAAAAAAAAGATCACATAAACGAATATACACAACCTTTAATTATAAAACATCTTGAATTCTAAATAACTGAATTCTGTCATTTAGCTGAAACACCATCTCGCCAGAGACTGTTGTGGTGATTTTATATATTAAAATCAGTCACTGTGAAATGTCGTCCGACTAATATGTGATCTGGTTTGAAGTGATGCATTCGAATGCCAGCTTTGAGGCACGTAGTGCCGAATTGGTATCCGTTATTTTGCACTCGAATGCCGGAGTAATGCCGAAACTGTACACTTACCTGGTGTTATCCAGAGGTACAATTTTTATAATATATATCTTCGAATCTTTCTATCCAAATCCTACCTATCTGGTGTCATCCAAATATTTCTGTAGCAATTATGTTTTTATCTATAATTTTACTTTTGCGTGTTACTTCATCAAAAAATTGATCTTACTTTTGCGTATAAAAAATAATGATTGCGCTATACATGAAGTTGAAATTAAAATCCCAAAATATTTCGACTTTGGATCTACAGTCGAAATTAAGTCGGAATGTTTCGGATAGTCAAAATTAAAACCAAGTTGACCTGAGAGGTCAAAGTCGAATTAAAAGTCGAAATGGGTGTAATTACATCATACAACAGGTTGAACATACAGAAATTTAATCAAAGGCTTCAAATTCTCATAACTTGGCCAATGTCTGGCTGTTTTGAATAAAACAACTATCACTCGAATTCTCTCAATGAGGTGAGTCTAGTGAGATGTAATTCATAAAATTCGAATCACTGATTATTATTATTATTATTGAGATATTTTGGTTTACTGTATATATTACAATAACTTGCCATTTAGTGATGCCATGAACATCAAATCTTCATTATTCGAATTGTCTTTATGAGACTAATAATACCTTTTTAATGAGCCGTATTTCATTGATCACTGCTAGTTCATGGGATAAATAATTTTAAAATTATTAATTATAATAAATCATGTGATATGACATAATTTCAACCATTTCGACCCCAACATAAAATATTGAGCTCTACCAAGTAATTGTCCATCTTGCATTATCGGAAAACTATTGAATGTCGCCGCCAAATTAAGCGCCTGATCATATTAACGCGAATCTCGAAAGTTGATTTGATTGATTTTTTCTGTTTAGGAGATAATTTACAATAATTAACCAAACATGGGCTAGTTTAGCAACTCCTATGGCGTGAATTGTTTTCCTTATTTGAATTTAAATTTATTGACCCGAAGGTCACCTTTCCTTTTTTTTAAAGTACTTCCGAAATCATATATAGTGGAAAAATCCTAAATTGGTGAATGGAAGGAAACATTATTTTGAAAGAGATGAATTCCAGAATCGTGGCACAATCCACACAGAAAATATAATCAATCAATTTAAAAATTGTAACACATATTTTTTTAATTTTAGTTTTTTTTCATACACAATACTTGGTTAAAATCTTGTTTTGATAATAAATCATGGAGGAGCAAAATAATGTAAAGAAGGTTTTGTTTCTTTGTTTGGGAAACATATGTAGAAGGTAATTTTTTAATTAGGCATACGTGGTTATAATCATTATAATTAAATGACATATATTTTAATTTTATAAAGTCCCATGGCTGAAGCTGTTTTCAAACATACAGTAAAACAAAAAGGATTAGAATCAAAATTTATAGTAGATAGTTGTGGAACTAGCAATTTTCATGCCGGTAAATATATATATATATGTACATTTTAATAAACATATTACCATTTATCGATTAACAAATAATTGACATTGATTATTTTAAAGGCGACCCTCCTAATTCAAAAAGTGTTGAAGTTTGCAGAAAAAATAATGTGGCTATTGATCATAGAGCCAGAAAAATTTCAAAAAAAGATTTTGATGAGTTTGATTATGTTTTGTGTATGGATGATGCTAATTTACTTGATGCAAACCGTATTAAACCTGAAGCTTCAAAATCGATTGGTAATTCATTATTTTTTTTTTCTTGGATTGGATTTTGGAGTTGTTGATTTATATTTATTAATTAATATTTTATTCCTTTCCCAGTCAAATTATTTGGTGACTATGATCCACAAGGTGAAAAAATTATTAGAGGTAAATACTACCTTTATTTTTTTTAAGAAAAAAAGTTTAAATTAATATGAAATAATAAATCGCTTTATTATGATTTTAATATATAAATCAGATCCATATTATGGTGGGATTAAAGGTTTCGAAGTAAATTTTGACCAAGTTACAAGATGTTCTGAGGGATTCCTGAAAAGTCTGGGTTTATGATAAAATACGCTATAATTTATTATTTCACACAAATTCTTACAAAATTCATTAATAACTATAGTAATAATCATAAAGATAATATAAATAATAATAAAGTTCCAATTAAATCAATATTTTATTTCTGGTGGTGAAACATTTGTTATGTGGTAATTTACAAAGCCCACATAGTATAATGTGCATCATTACCTGGTGGAAAAATTTGTCAGATACAATTGAACAAGGGAATTTTCAACATAGCATAGACATTCAAAGGCTGGTGTGCCTAATCAAACTGGGAATTCATTAATTATATAACGGACAGCTTACCAATTGGTTTACTATAACTATAAGAATGAAAGACAGGCAATCAGAACAAGTTCAGGGTGATCACCACCATTAGTAAAATAAATAATATAAAATCAAGTTAACTTACTCATTCGGAAACAACCTCTAAAATTATGCTGCTCTCCGTGTTATTCTTACAAGAACATGGGGGGAAGATTGCTCCTTTTGTTTTTTAAGTTGGAAGATATTATGGATATCAGCAAGTATTTATTTATAAAAAAACTAAATAATATATGATTTCATCTAGCAGTCAAAGAGAGTCTCTAAAGAGAATAAAACTCTCGTTTTAAAGTAATCAAAGATTGCAAATGAGACTTTGCTAGTAAAATTGATAAGAAGCGTGTTGAGGTATATGGAAAAAAGCTTTCTTATAAAATGACATACCTTACCATGGTACTATTGCGTTTAATCGATCAGTAAATATTATCAAGTTAATTCCTGGGCGATAAGAAAGGAAAAGCTGGGATGGCAAGCAGGTAATAATAAATATAATTCTGTCAAGGATCAGGCATTCGTTGTAAATATTTCCTGGTTTGGTAGTGAAGTAACAAGATTACACCATTTCCCGAAAACTTCATATTGGACATGATAGTTATAAACAATTTGGCAATCAGTTAGCATCGAATGTACAAAATATGTCATAACAGATATATGTATAAAAGTACAAATTAGTTGCTGATCACAAAAAAAAAATTTGTAAAGGTAAATTCACATTTTTTTTTCTACTTAATAATTGCAACACAAAAGCACACATATAATCATAATCACACAAAAAAGTTATACCAGTTTGTAGCTCATGTTCTGAAGATTACATATAAAATTCTATGCTTCCATATTCTCTAAAGCTTTTTTGACAATTAAAAAAAATCTGATTATTCAAAAAAAATTTTAATATGGAATAATTGTTGCTCCAGGATTTTTTTTAACTCATTTTATTTAACATTAAATATGCGGAATTCCACCTGACATCCACATCAAGTTGTTTGTGGTGATAAAACTCGAACAGAATTGCTAACTTTCTTAACTGTATCATCGTGAGCTTGCAGCCCATGCCATGCAGAAAATACAACATTTCTGAACTTCATTATTTCTCATAAAGTATCCACTGAAATAATTTCTAATGTTTTGTGAAGGAACTTGAATGGTTAATGATGCAGAAGGTATAGTTATCAATATTTTGCTTTTGACTGGAATTATTGAAATTATTACCATTGGAATAATTGATGACGACGTAAAAGAACAAATCATTAAACTTTTTTAGTGCAACAAATTCATCAAAATAAACTCTGGTTTGAAGTACGGTTTTAAATTGACGGTTGAACCAGTTTGACAGAACTGTTCACACATCCTTAAAAAACAAATCTGATCTAAAATTAACGAATTATACGAAATTTTAATATTAATGTTAATTTGGTATCTTTTACGACGAAGCAAATATCCTAATGTTTACATATTCGTTTTTCTTCTACTAAGTCATATTTCTTGATTTAACTTGTTCATCTTCTCCCGGGTCTCTCTCTTTCAAGCTAAAACGAAAAGGCAATAATTTAGTTACCCAGTAATTTTTCGACAAGCAAGCGTTCTTTCATCCGATAAAAAAAAAGTAGTTAGTGGCTCTGTTTTTAGTGAAACACACGTAGGCATGCCAATATTGGTATGTAGAGTTGTGTTAACTTGATGATATTTGACCTTTAAGTTAACTGTGCGTAATGATAAATACACAATAGAATAAAAACGCGTTTGAGCTGTCTTTAATATCTAAGTTTGGAATGCACATAGGCTGGTCAATGTTAATATTGGTACGTGGAACCCCCGCCCCCACATAAGACATATTTAAGTAGAGGTTTTTGCAAGTTTTAATTTTGAAGATTTAAATAGAAAACAAAGAATGCTAAAATTCTATCAATTCTTTATCAATTAATCCCGATAGAAATTTAAATAAGCTATTTATTTAACTGCTAAAAAATCCCATTAATGTAATAAAATCTGGATAATTATTTGACAATCAATCCTCTGCAAAAGAAAGAATCGAGTAAATAACAATAAAAGAATCGTGAATAAATAAACGAACTAGTGTTATTTTCGGTACAAAAAAAAAATCATCAAGTTTTATATTTTTATATAATGTCCCACACCAAATTATTAATAACATTATCATCAGAAAGAAGTGAATTCTTATATAAATTTAATAATGAAATGCATAAGAATGCTATATTAATTCTGATGAAGTAGAAAAGATTATTTTTTTCATTGATCAAAAAAAAACAAGGAGCTTTCTGAAAATGAAAATGAATTTTGCAAAGAAAAGTTTATGATGTTAAATTAAGAAGTGCAAAAGATAAATTGGGAAAACCAAAAGAATGTAACAATTGTGTAAATTGACAAAATACTCTGATAGATTCTGTGAAGGTTGCATTAGTTTACAATTACAAAGTCTTTTCACTACATGGACATCTGGAAATAACATAATTGATGGTTTGATTCAACAATGCCAAATGAAATCATCTCTGCCAGAGTATATTTTAGAATTGTCACCAATTAATTTTTTGTCTTTGATTTCTCCTTTTAAGACTTTGTTGTAGACGCGATCAAAAATTTCTGATTTAATGATTTCCGGGTGATTGTTCTTCAATTGCATTTATTTATAATTGAAAATAAAAAGATGAAAGGTAACCTCGTAAGGTATGAAAGTGAAAATAAAAATAAAAAATAAGATAATTATAAAATAAAGAATTTTAAATAAAGGAATTTTGATTATATTTTATCAAATGACTTGTGTAAATTTCCACACAACTCGCACCAAGTTGTCACCAATTAATTTTGGGAGAGCATGTTTTAATTGATGATAACAGATTTTTATTAATTTATGTGTATCAGAATGAATAGGCTAATACTAACGAATTAGATTTATTAGCGGATAATTTTGTTTTAGTGATTTGATAAAAATGATTTATTTAATTTTGCATTTAGTCGTAACTTATTATTAACTTATTATCAAGTTAATTTGTTACAAAATTATTCTTCAACTACAGCGAATTCTTGTTCCTTATATACATGTTAGATTATATGTATCCCAATTTGGGATATTTAGCCCAGGTTGGGATATTCCTCCCGGTCTGGGACAGCGTTGGAATTTCGTTGTGTAACTGTACAAATTTAGAAACTATCTCAAAAAATTAAAAATTTGATTGGTGTGTAATGTTACACCCGGACATTCCGAACATAGAATTTTCAACACTGGTCTGGGATATATTAATATAGCCCAATCTGGGATAATCTTTGTTAATTTCTACTAATAAAGGTCCAATGTTAACGTGTTACAAATTAATTAAATCTGCAGAATGTAACATGAGTTCATATAATAATAACTAATTAAATCATTCGGATAATAATAGATAAATAAATACAAATAATATAGATAATTTCACTCCGAAATTATGGGGTTATCGATCAGCGAATTAAGGTCAAATTCGTTTTCCGGTGACAGAATGGATACCTTTTGAGCAATTGAAGGAGTAACAAAGTTGACAAAAGATGGATTTAGTTCAATTTTTACTGTTGATGGACAAAAGGAATGATTAATGATTATGATGAAAATAAAAAGGAATTTAGTTATGATGAAGAGCAAGCAGCAGTATTAAAAAGTTTAAATGATTCAAGTAATCCAGGAAAAGGCTTTTTTGATGAGGTTGGTAATTGACATTTAAATCAATACTGTATTATACAGTATAAATACCAATTGATTTTATATTTAATTTCAAGCAATGAATTATTGTAAAATTAAATCACCAATGATTAATCCTTCCTATGTATAACTAAATTTCTAGATAATAGAAATTATGCAATAGTTTTAAGTTATTATAGAGGTGGAAGTTTAAGAGGTCATTTGAAATTTAATTTTAACATTAAAAGAAAGAATTATAATCTTTGATTGTTTATGTGAGGCATTATATGGGATACATGAAAAAGGTTTAATCCATTGTGATTTACATAGTGGTAATATACTTGTGCAAGGAGGTTGTTGTTACATTACAGATTTAGGATTATGTAGACCAATTGATGAAAAATCATCGAGTAAAGTTTATGAAATTGTATCATATTAATATATTGCACCTGAGTTGCTTAGAGGTGAAAAGAACACAAAAAAATCAGATATCTATAGTGTTGGGATGTTAATGTGGGAAATATTTGCAGGTCATCCACCATTTGGTGATTTAGCTCACAATCATTGTTTAATTTTTGATATATGTGCAGAAAATTTATGACCACCCAATATTACCAATAATGCCTGATGATTATGTGCAAATGATGCAGGGGTCTTGGATGTGGATCCATCAAAAAGACCAACTAGTAGAGAACTTTTTATTTTACTGAGAATAAATTGAAAGAAATTGATTTTAATGATGATAGTAATGATTTGCAACAAGCACACAAATCACATCCAGGTGCATATCATACAAGTAGAATATTAGATGATGATACTGCAAAGTAGACTTTCAGTTAATTGCGCGTATGGCAAAGGCTCCAAACGATAGTAATAGTGTTACAACCCGAATTGTTAACGGATTAACGTTATGGACCCGTTAATATTAAGAATATTTGAACCCGTTTTGTTCGAATTATTCATTTTATTCGTTTACTCGTTTTGTTTGAATTATTCGAATTATTACTCGAAATTACTCGTTTTAATCAAACTATTCGTTTTGTTTGAATTATTCATTTTATTTCGTACTATTCGTTTATTCGTTTATTCGTTTATATTCATTTTGTTCGAATTATTCATTTACTCTACTCGTTTAATCAAATTATTCGAACTATTCGTTTTGTTCGAATTATTCATTTTACTTGAATTACTATAATTACTCGTTTTAATCGAATTATTCATTTTATTTCGAACTATTCGTTTTATTCAAACTATTCGAATTATTTCGTTTGTTTTTTTTAATTGAAATATTCGTTTGTTCGTTTTATTAGAAATATTCGTTTATTCGTTTTACTCCAATTATTCATTTAATTGTTTTAATCAAATTAATGGAACTAATCAAATTATTCATTTTATTTCGAACAATTCTTTTATTCGTTTATTCGTTTTATTTGAATTTGTTATTCATTTTATTCGAATAAACCTTCAATGTAATTCGAATATTCAAATTCATAACGAGTAAAACGAATAATTCGAATAAACGAATAGTTCGAATAGAAACCCCAATCAAGCAGTATAGTTGTATATGGTGATTTTAGTTTAGTTTTCCAGATTTGGTGACTTCATAATATATAACTCAGATCGCACACCCTGCAATATTTATACGTAGACTGTTTTGCGACCTATGAATTTTACGACTTTAGAATGTCATGCCATTTAATGCTGAATTATTGTAATTCAGGTAAAATTTAATTTTTTTTAAATATTAATATACTGTATTGCAGTGTTGGAAATTCGTCGATCTTATGATCTGCAAAAAAAAATTTGTGCACATATGAACACAAGAAATTTTTA